TAATGTTTATCAGTACATTACAGAAAATAATGAACTTTATCACAATATGCTAATTTTTTGAGAAGGACCTGTATATAGATAGCTCAGTAACACAACCAATTATCTCCTTCACTACCATCATATCCATGTTAATCCAGTCTTTTGACTTTTATTTGTGAACTCTTTTACAATACTCAATATTTCTTCTTCATCARTTTCTTCAAGAAAGATGCTGTTGACACAACCCCGGATTGTATGACTCATGTCATTATCAACTTTTGGTATTTTTTCTGCAAGATTTGGACCAACATTTACATAATAATGATTAAATTCATTTGTTATTTCACTTTGATCATGGATTTCCTTGTTTTCTTTTACAAAATATTGTGGAATACCTGATTTCCCTTYATGATTATTCAGAACACTGTTCATTACTCATGTTGCTTTCATATCACCATTACTTTTATTTAATAAGTCAATGTAATATTTCTTCTTATGTTTTCTTATAATCCATACCAACTTATTTTTGTATGTATTGTACAGTATCTGTCTTCTGCATCTTTTGCTCTTTATTTCAAGAAGCATGAATCTAAATGATTCTTTTTAACAAGAATTTTCAACCCTTTAGTCATCCATGGTTTGTCAACAACATCTCTCYTTGCACAATTTCTTTAYACACAATTCTTTCCATACAGAGTTCCCAAAATATTCATAAACTCATCATATCTCTGTTTACATCACCAACATACACATCCTTCCAGTTTTTTTAAGTCCTCTCTCAATTTATCCAAAGGTTTTTTTCTGTGTTTATTATTATCTTACTTGTTTTAACTGCAGGTTTGCTACATTGATAATGTTTATAAAAAGTAAAGACAGGTAAATGATCACTTATATCTGTTGTCAAATGCCCACTCAACACTTCTCCATTTCTGACATTAGTAAAGATATTATCAATCACTGTTGCAGTTAGTGTAAATTATTAATTAAGTAATAATGTGGCAATTATTGCATAAAAACATCAACAAATAATAGCGCAATTAATTTATTTGACTATACAGTGCAACATAAATATATCATTTTCAACCTTATTAATTTAACATTATCACAATTCATTTTAATTTTCATTTCAATCATACTTTTTAAATGAGTTTTACTTTTTGATTTCATTGTTTTGTCTATAATTTCCCTATTCTGTATTTATTTATTACACTTTTATTTTACCATCACATTTTG